CGACTCTCATGAGTTGTGTCCACAAGAAAAACCAGGTCTTCATTGAAAAAATTTGCAAAATTTTCAATACGCATTATGTCTCGCGCTCATATATATAGTTTAACAGAACCTTATATCCAACTCTCACTATGATTAATACTAGTATATGTAAAAATCAACAAATTTTTTTTTCATCTTAAAAATTTTATTCTATTTAAAATATTATAATTACTTCTCATATACGGAAACACATAATGATCATGTTGTATTCCATACTGAAAATTTATAGATTCAAATATTTTATGTTAGATAAAATTTGATGTATTTTTTCAATTATTTGATGCACACATCACAAACATAACATCCAACAAAGATAATTAAAAAGAATGGTTCATGATCATCTTTGCTCACGTTTAAGCACAATTTGAAAGTCCCAATATTGTATGTCATCTTTCAAATATATAGCACATGGAAACAATTGTGAATATTAATGATGTTAGCTATGAGATAACTTCCATGTTGTTCACCTAACAAATCAGATTCAAATTAGCTCCCCTTATGTCTGATATGTTTGCAATTCTAGCCCATAGAACACCCTGCGTAAAAACCTCTCCATCTTTGTTGATTTACATCTATTAATCCAGAATTTGAAGGGTTTGCATTCCTCTGAAAGCATACGCTTTCTGCTCTTTCCACTCTATGAAATGGCATCGACGCTGTTTGTTTGAATCTCACGATATGATAGTTCATCTTGTGCGATCAGTATCTCAGTTTTGGTACTCTTTAGCTTGAACATGCGTGTAAGCTTCTGTGTTAAAAGACGTCAGCGAAAATTAAGCTCGAAACGAAAAGGCCAGGTGTTGTCTACTTCAAGAGCTGAGGAGCTGCGTGTCTTCGCTGTAGTCAAGTCAATAAGATCTTACCTGGGATACGACAGAGTCCTTGCGACACAAGTTGCGGACATTCCAGTGAGAAACTCTTTTCATGACTAGCACAAACGACAGTGAATGCGTGCATACAAGTTTGGAAGCTCGAGGAAGAGGCCAGGTAACAGGAGAATGGACGAGTCACGCAACAGCTTCCGCAGGATAGAAGAGGAAGCGTAGAGATGCCCGAAATGAGAGTCGTTTTTTGCCTATTGATTTGTCTTCTAACAGCCGGCAGGCTTCACAATTCTATTCATAATTCCTGCTCTGTTTGAAGGATGGATGTAACGAGTGCCGATTGCGTTGTGCCCAGTATCCAAGAAAATCACAAGAAATCAGCACCTAAGACTAGCTGAGCTTGCCCAACATTCCACCACTCCGATGACACTCAAAATGTCAGTCGAAACTGAAGCACAGTAACAGCTCTCTCCCACTACTCTGAGCAGATTGCAAAATCTCCCGTTGATTTATTTAGTGATTTGTAATCTCGATCAAGTCGTCCAATCGTCGTGTGCAATCCTGGAGTTCTTTCAGGACTGTGGGTAATGACGCTAAGGCAATTTCTAGACGTTTCATCAGGTTCATTGGCCCACTTGCTAATTCCGAAAATTATCTTTCAAACCTCTTTTCTAATATTCAAATTTTCTGCTTTACCCACTTCGTGGATAAATGATTTTGGATTCAATTTTAATAATTTTATTTTGGTTGTTTGAATAGAATCAACAACTTACCTTATCATTACTATAATTACTTGGCGATTCTGCTCTTCTGACTATTTTCTCTACATGAAACACAATAGCCCGAAATTTCCCCATTTTTCTTCGGCATATGTTTTGCACGTAATTAAGTTCCCATCACCCCACTGTGTATGGAATCTTGTAGACGCCACTCTCTAGGCCAACCGGACTTACTTTAGAAGCTTCAGACAGCAATCTTGATACGAATCAACCAGTTTCACCTTCTACCGATGATGAAAACGAAGTAGAGCTGTATATTTTCTCGATCGCATCGTGATTGCTGTTTGGTGAGAAAGAGATCTCTTCACCTCTATTCTCACGACCGCAATATCTCTAACTACAGACGTCACTGGCAATCGGTTTCGCCGATTCCTAGAGCTTCTTGACCGACCTAATTATTTGAATGGTTTCTACTTGAAAGGTAGCAAAGACGGTCTAAGCGAGAATGCAACATGTGGCCAGTCGAAAAGCTCCCATGCCACCGGTGATTGGTTGTTCCTCCACGAAGGGTCTGAATACACCATACCGATGCCGAAAATACCATAAAAGCAAAATTATACCGATGTTTTATGTGTTATTGAGATCAGCCTGTCACTGTCAGCCCCTCCGACCCGATATTTTACCTCTACTCCAATTTTAGCGTTGTGCTCAAACCCAAAGTTAGTCCAGCAGCACGAGCACCGAACTAGAAGATTCCATAGTTACGTGCAGCTGATCTTCGCTGAGGATGCTCGACAGTGCAACCCGCAACTTGCCTCCTAAAATTTAGTGAGTGAAGTTTTATATAGTTATAAAGTTCATAGAGGCGCTCTCTAGAGTGGTCGTAAAAGTTGGATTTCTAACGTCAAGAAACTTTAAGAAATTCAGAAAGGACGGGCCAGCTTCTAACACCCAATAAGAGGGACAGTCCACAAAGCTTGAAGAATCATCACGCCAGGAAAACGCGTTTCTATGGCGTCCTGCGTGTACGACTTGATGGGGTTCCATCCCGAAAGCAATATTGCTTGGTCCTCCTTATCCTTCTCGGCGTTCTGGTCTGAAAGGAAAAATCCTAGTGGCTACATGCCGACTGGTCTGAAAGAACAAATCCTAATGGCTACGTTCCGATAGACAGCATAAAGCAAGTGTGGGGTCAATATGTGCGTGGCCGAGATGGAGCCCCCACAAGAACGACTTTTACGCCATAGACCCCAGGTCAACGCTGGGTCAATGCTGGGTCAATTTTTCCACGTACACTAGTACTCTCAGAAGGTACTGCTGACATACTTGTGCCGAGCTGCAAAAGCTCCATGGTGCCCTCTCAACTGCAACTAGTGACACGTCAGAAGGCAACATAAGAACGAGCTTTGTCGAAAACCCAGGCCATACGTATGCCTACGCTGTGTCGAAATTCCTTCGCATGCAGTAGTCGCAGAAGGTGCCGCTGACAGAAGTCTGCATATCTGCAAAGTCTCCAAGGTGCCTTTTCAACACCAACTACCGACCACGTCAACAAAGCAACTTTCACGATTATCATGGCCATTTTGCTGCAAAAAATGGCTCAGACAGTAACTTCACCCCTGATCACTTACCCAAAATGGTTTTCACAAGTTCCTCACATATGTGATATGGAATTGTGGCCGAGAACATTGGAGAGTCAAAGTACTTCACATCATCAAAGTTGCGCTTATTTCATAATATTAGTCGAAGTTGAGAAAATGTGTTGGAAATCCTTCTCATTCTAGCGGATACTCCACTGTCCAAGACGAGTAAATTAGCAAGTGTTTATTTTCGTCAAGGCTGTAAAATCTTGGTGCTCGTAGCGCATAGACATCTCGTCACCCGAAGAAGAACAATGAAACTGGAAGGCGGGATAGCAAGTTTCACGTCACTGATTGTTTCTGCGCCTCTCAGCTTCACCTCGCATTTCTACGAGTTTCGTCTCACTCTCAAAAGTTGAAACTTCAAATTTCATGTACTATTATCTCTCGTTGCTCCTAAAAAATATATAAATAATAACAAATATTGTTAGAAAGATGGGCTTTTGAAGGCAGCTGTTAGTCCTAATATTTTGGGGTGCACGAAGGGTGTATAGGAAGCTTTTGTTTGTGAGCAAATAAATCACTTTCGTAGCTTCCTATGGAGATTCCCCTGATCATACTGCAATGCATTCAAGGTCAGGTTTAGGAATTAGAATTTTCTGGAAGTATTTGGATAGTCTTAGCACATTTTGTAATCTGCCTGTGAGGTTCTGATTTCTGCATCCACTGCTGTCTAAGAGATGATTGGTTTCAGTCTTCATCAGCATGAACTGTGGTGGTGAGGTTGACAGGGACCCAGACACCACCCTGGAGTTGAAGTGGTGCAACTGGCTGAAGAAGGTGTCACGATCAGCGCTACTTTAAACCTCAATCCAACCGTTGTTCCTGGAAACAATACGGAAGGGCTGAATACTGCTCTTGCTTTCAACCTGGTTAATCCTGACGGCAAGGCTCGATCGAAATTCTATTACAAATTGCCCGTGGGTTTCAATGAAACACGTGAAACAAGACTATGGCCGAAGGCTAACATTTCGATGCTCCTGGAGTTCAGCTCCTGTTGGCGGGCTTTAAAATGCACAACATCTTCTCGACGAGCGTAGAAACTGAAGAGACTAGATTGGGAGCAACACCTCCACAAACTCATCATCTTCGCTCGGTGCAGTCTCCGACGGCAATCATCTTGTAAGCGAAAATCCTTTCGTACAATCTGACCTGGCTCAGATCTTGCCTGCTCCAAACTCAAGTAGCTTGGATTGCTAGCTCAGATGATCACTTCCGAACTGTTTCCGTCGATACCCGCATCCCAAAGATCAACATGAAGTACGTTGGACTCATGGAGCTGGAGAAAAGTGCTCTAAACATCAATGGTTGTGATCTCAAAGGATTGGAGATGTTCATTGGTGCCACAATGATATTAAGGGAATGATTCTAGTCTTCATCAAAAGATATATACCCCGTTTTGACAGGCGTGTATTCGCCATGGTCGTCACCACGTGGTGTCCGAAGCTGAACGCTCTTTTCATGCTCTAACCACGTTAACCATTTGTTGGGTTGTCTTAGACAGAATCTGCAGGTGATCACAATATGACCAATTTCGAATTTTGTTTCATGCATGAACATCCGGCTTAGACATCTGCTTAACTCCATTCTAGCGTTGCGAACATTAACTCTCATCAAAAGAGATATGTTGTACGTGTCGACCTAGTAAGCGAATGACGGTGTCAAAATAGAGTACTTCCATTACCGTGGGCGTAGTATGCGGAGCATAGCATATGACTGAACTGTGTAATAACGCTGCAAATTTCTGCCCAGGCTAGAGCCGTGATATCTTGCGACTCATGGCGGGTAGTGCCTTGTGTCGATTATCTTTGCGACTGAAATTGGGGAGCAGAAGCACAATGTATTGGGCTGTAATTTTTTCTGGTGTCTTACTCTCGAACCTTATTCTCTCCCCAGTCCTCTCGCAGTCTACTGTGGCTTCTCCAGAAGGTGAGTCTGTAAAGTGGCTTTCCAGAAGGTGAGTCTGTAAAGTGGCTTCCCATTTATCGGATAAGTTATTTGAATTATACCTTGCAGTTCCATTGGAAGCATGTATAGGCATAGATTCTTTTGCTCGTTCCATTATATATTCTATCTTCTGCATGAGAATTGCCAACGAGATTCCAGATGCGATTAACTGGGAATTGTGTGAAGCTGTGAAAACAAAAATTCCGGCCAGTCCGGAAATGCTGATGAACTTCTTGCGCCTTAGGATTCATAAGCATCAGCTGTGGCGGCTTGAGTGGAGTAGACCCTATCACCTCACTCCAGTGGATCACTGATGAATCTCATCTGCAGTCATTCCAAAGTCTTTCTCAAGAGAAGGTGATCATCACCGCCGACGTTAATTACAACGAGAGCTCACCTAGCTTGCCGAATGGCGAACAGTTGAAAACTGCTCTGGTGTTTCTTCCTATCCAAATGACACGCTCGAAGTTTTGCTACAACTTGCCAATTGCATTTAACGCAACTGAAGGATCACGAAATTATCTTCTTCGAGTTATGTTTCCCAGTCAAAATTTGACTGTGAATGGAACTGCATTATCGGGATATGCCACTCGGTTCTACCTTACTGTCGACTCCACCTACATCACCACAATCGAGCTACTGCCATCTATGCCGCAAACAATCGAGCTGGTCGTCTCTTCAATGGATAACAGATTTTACGTTTGTCTCGTGCCCTTGGAAGACAAGTCCTCAATGCCAGCTATCTCAACTCTGGAGTTGCGTCCGTTCAATCCAGATTCCTATGGCAGAACTGGTCAGTCGAAAGAAAAGCAGCAGTCGAGCTATCTCATGCTCGTTGATCGTTTGGACTTCGGAGGAATACTTGACACTGAGTCGGCTCCTCTCAGGTGCACATGCGAATGAGAATTGAAGAACAGTGGAGCGATACTAGCTTTACCTCATCATGCTGTTCAGCATGTGAAGTGCATGGTGACCATTGACGTTTTGCTTCGTTCTGCACGCAGGTATCCCGCAGACCCTTTCGATCGTATATGGTTATCCCCACGAATTCCCGAAGGAGCGCAGTTTGAGGCTTACAACAGGACCGAAGATGCAAACCTTGGGTATGGCGGGGACAGTGTTTACTTCCCTAGTGCAGTGATGAGATCGATATGGAGGGGAAGAAATTTGTCGTCCACCATTAACTTTGACGTTTATGTGAAGAGGGCTAAAGCCCGCCGTCCACTACCAACATTCTGGTTCCAGATGTTATATTCAAACGTAGTTTCTGGAGCTGTGAATCCTCATCAATCCGTCAGACAAATCGACGGTGATCTAGCTTCGGTCTGGTCGCCGTTTGAGGTACCCATTACTCCCGGTTTTGTTCAGATAATGAGCCTCGACCAGGTCATCGGTAGCGATTCGCTTACAATCACAATTGAACCAAATGGAACCACAGAAGCACCTGTTCTGATAAATGCAGCCGAGATTCATGGTGAGTTTGCAGCAGTGGCAGTGAGAACTTCAAAAGTTGATGGTAAGTGAAGGCTACAGTTAGCATTTCATGTCGATTGTTTACAAGAACAGCTATTCTTGCGATATATAGTCATTGAATGATTGAGAAATTAATACGGTTTTATTTCTTCAAACTTTCTCAGTGGATGCAGTCAGGAAGCTTTATCCCAATTTCGCATCAAGTTCTGTAGACACAGCTGGCGATCCGTGCTTGCCAGTTCCTTGGGGCTGGCTAGTTTGTAGTATCGAGTTGCCCCCTACAATAACCCAAATGTAAGTTTGTAGTCCACGAATTCCTTGAAATGGTACTGATCACACAATCAGAATCTACATCTGTAGCACACAAGAATTGACAGAATCTACATATATAGAAACACAAGAATTGATCTCCCTCTGACGATGACCATATACAGCTCAAATCTTGCAAGGTGCGTATATTGAGATTAAACCTTGCCACGCACCGACGACATGAATAAGAATTTCTTGACGTTGCAGAAACCTCACTTCGAAGCCGTGTGAGAAGAGTTGGACCTTGATTTGTGAAGTCCTCTGACCGTCTTGGACTTGTCAAATTAGAAATTCAATGGACGCAAGCCAATATCCCTAGTGACTGTTTCTAAGATGAGATGCCCAAGGATGTGTCACATCAGATCCCTACAGTTTTTGTCTTCTTGTTTATTATTATATAGCTTCCTCTGACGGGTCTGTTTCTGTGACAGAAATCTTACTGGCGAAGGTGTGGCCGGTGTATTACCTAGTGTATTTGGAGCACTGAGTCAATTGACGATTTTAGATCTGTCTGAAAACAATTTCGACGGGTATTTCCCTGATTCTCTTGGAGGAATCCGCACACTCAGAGAACTGTAAGAACCTATCACACTCGCTCTTCGGATGACATAGATGAAAGCAGGTGTCTCTATGATGACAATGGTTCCATCCGTTGTGCCATATTGGGTGTGGTCATTGCAATAATTGTAGCAATTTCATATCAATCTTTGATTGAAGGTGAGGACAACGTCGATCATCATCTGCATGATCTAAAGTTTCCAATTTGCCAACTTTAGGAACTTGGGACACAACAAGCTGCATGGAGAGTTACCATTATTCAGCGCAAAATCACTTGACAATCTGGTAATGCTGTAAGTTGTTCAACATCTCACAACGCAAGTAAGATTTATCGTAATTTCAGTAATATTGACAAAGTTCGTAGATAACTATCGGTTGAAATCGTTTGACTTATACATATTTTCTAGGTGAATTCAAATTACGAGACTAATGAACTCGTCAGCATCGTTGGCATCAATTTTGTCAACTTAATGTCAAATGTTGTTATTCAGTTAGATGGAGTAGCTAGCTAGAGTTGGAAGACAACTTGGAATGAGGTAAACTGTTTGAGTCGTTATTCTTCATAGAGGGAAGGTTCATTGTAATGACCTTGCCATTAATACTACTGCAGATCACTGTCCAGCAATATGTTCAGGGGGACACTGGATTCATTAATGGAAGCATTAGACGAATCGATTCAAAACTTGTGAGTGCAACAATCAGTTTCTGTTTCGAGTTTTATACCATTTTCAAAACGCTTCTCGAATTGTTGGTCCCATATCCAGTGACAATCCGTCAGAATTGTCACTTAATTAGGATTAACATCCTGGACTGTTCGAAGATATTGTATTTAAACATCTCCAAGAGAATTTTTCCAAAGTTTTATAACCGAATATAGGAGACAAATATAAAACTTATGTTGCCTGCAGAGACCTCAGCAATAACAAATTCGTCGGAGCTGTACCTTGGAATATAGAAGTGCTAGAAAACTTGGAGACTTTGGATATGTCCAACAACCAATTGTCGAGCGAGTTAGCAGTCAACTTCAGTAAGCTCAGGAATTTGAAAAATCTGTAAGTACACGATTCAGTCAGAGTTGAATTAGACTTGGACCTTCTGATTGAACAAAGTAAAATTTAACGTGAGGATTCCTTGCAGTCGAGAAATATTGTTCTTTTTATGTATTAAAAGTATATCGATTCTAAATGAGACTAAGGAAAAGAATCGTGATTTCAGGAACTTGAGCCTTAATAATCTGAACGGTACATTGCCTGACAGCATTTGGAACAGTCGCAATCTTCAATTTGTGTAAGTACGCAGATCTCAGTCTTCGTATCATATCAGTAGTTAATGTAGCGAGGTCACTGGATGTTGGGTAAGCATTAGACGAATCGATTCAGAACTTGTGAGTTCAACGATCAGTTTCTGTTTCGAGTTTTGTAACATTTTTAGAACGCTTCTCATAATTGTTGGTCCCATATCCAGTGACATTCCGTCAGAATTGTCACTCAATTAGGATTTTTATCCTGTACTGTTCGAAGATATTGTATTTAAACATCTCCATTAGAATTTTTCCAAAGTTTTATAATCGAATATAGGAGACAATGTAAAACTTGTGTTGCTTGCAGAGACCTCAGCAATAACAAATTCGTCGGACCCGTACCTGGGAATATAGAACTGCTAGAAAACTTGGAGAATTTGGATATGTCCAACAATCAATTGTCGAGCGAGTTAGAAGTCAACTTCAGTAAGCTCAGGAATTTGAAAACTCTGTAAGTACACGTTTCAATCAGAGTTAAACTAGACTTGGACCTTCTGATTGAACAAAGTAGAATTCGACGTGAGGATTCCTTGCAGTCGAGAAATATTGTTCTTTTCATTGTTTAAAAGTATATCGATTCTAAATGAGACTGAGGAACAGAATCGTGATTTCAGGAACTTGAGCCTGAATAAACTGAAAGGTACAGTGCCTGACAGCATCTGGCCTGACAGCATATATAACAATCGCAATCTTCAATTTGTGTGAGTACGCAGTTCTCAGTCGTCGTATCATATCAGTAGGTAATGTAGCGAAGTCACTAGATGTTGATTCAATATATCAAGAGAAAACTGCTCAAGTATGTTGGAACAAGCAAGATAACTGGTCATTTCTGTATGATTTGAATTTCATTACTGCTATTCTACAGACAGCGACGATGCATGTGGCTGAATGATTCCATATTTGTAGAGACAATATTTGATATTATAGTCCTTTCCTTATGACTGAGAACGGGATGTTGATTTTGAGTACTAAAATTACTCCTGAATAAATTTCGTGTTCGATGTAGTATCTATAAACATTTCAAAACCTTTTAATCCAACTTCTGTATATAAGTGTCGTTCCTCGAGACTTTAATGAAATATTTCTAGTTTGTTCACTCAGGAATTTGAGAAACAACAGCTTTGTGGAATTGAATCTTACAACATGGTATAAGAGGGTTGCCGAAGGCAAAAGTCTCGATGCTCCTCGAATTCAGCTGCGTTTGGCTGGAAATCAAATACACCGCATTATTTCACCGAGCCTTCAAACTTTAGAGAGTATAATAGTAGCGCCACCTTCACTATCTGAGCAGCTGCTCTCGATACAGTCTCCACAAACTTTTATCTTGTAAGTAATAAGCCTTCTTACTCTCTGACCTGGTTCAGATGTCCAGATCTTGTCTAGACCAAACGCAAATAATGTGGATTTTTTAAAAATATTTTCCTGTTCCAACTGATTTATGTACCGTATGTCAAAGTCTGTTCATTTAATGATTATTACATTGCTGCTTAGATGGATTTTCTGTTTAGAGAAAACTGCTTTGAAACGCACTCGTTGTAATTTCAAAGGCTTGGAGATAATCCGTGGTGCCTCAATGATAATGACGGAGTGAATTTAGCGTTCATCAAAAAATACATGTGCCGATCTGACGAGCATGAGAACTTCTGGCCTTCCCCATGTGAGTTCCGAATTTAAGCACTATTTCGTTACTGTAACCAATATCAAAATTCGTTGGAACATCTTATGGACTATCTTCAGATATTGAATAGGCACATTTTCAAAGCCTTCTGTCATGCAAGAATGCCGGCTGCATTCATATGGTTATGTGAAAGTCTAGCTTCACAAACATCAATTCTCATCATATATCTGGTGTTGTATGTGAACGTACGCAGCACACGATGGTGTCCAAACAGGAGTACTAATTCCCGTGGGCGTGGTATCTGGAATTTTCGTGTTACTTCTGAGTTGTTTAATCATATTCTTCACGTGGAAAATGCGAAGACGCAGTCGTGAAATTCAACAGATACAAGAAGGTCAGTTGTCATGACACGATTTTGAGGAGTCACTTGGCTCATCGTCTTCAGAATGATTTCTTGCTTTCCACTTTGTGAGTGGAAAAAGCTGCTCCTTCTTATTCGTATTAACGCTAGTACCCTTGACTTTTCTCAGCTTTAGCAAAAGAGCACGTGAAGCCACCGTTTTTCAGCTACGTTGAACTCAAAACGGCTACACACAGTTTCTCAAGTTCCAACGAGTTAGGAAAAGGTGGATTTGGCACTGTTTACAAGGTAATATACTCCGGACATTGTCATATGCACATCTCTATAGCCTCTATAAACAATGGGAATGAAATTCCATTCATTTTTTCTGTCAGAGTAAGTCTAGTATCCTGGATTTGTAGTCATCTGTTTCACTAGGAAAGTGTAGAAAGTGGAGGGAGCCCATCGAAGTGTGACAAGTAACTCTCTTTGACAGGCTGAACTAGGAGATGGGAGTGTTGTTGCTGTGAAGAGACTTACTCCGACTAAGCAGAGTACATCGGACTTCTTGAAAGAAATGGTAAACATCTCGGGTATCAAACATAGACATCTGATTCAACTGAAGGGATGTTGTGTAAGAGAGAATCAGCAACGAATGCTGATTTACGAATACGCGGAGAACAAGAGCCTCGCAGAAGCACTGTTTGGTGAGAAAATATTGAGTCCTTCAATGTTCATGTATGTCCTAGAATCACAATAGATAGAAGTTTTATCATGTATATTAAGCTAGTGAGCAAGAATAATGGGCTCCACTGTCTGTTTTGAGGATTCTGAGCTTTTATTGCAAAGGGTTCAAGAGGATGTATCGGATATTAAGTAACCTACGCGTATGTGGGACTAAGAAGGGGAGAGTTTTTGTCTTCGGACTCACTTGTATAATAGAATAGAGAGCATGCGGTTAAATACTACGAAGAATATGCTGATAATCTCAGAGTTTTATGATGCCGTTGACCAACAGGTTCAGATCCTCAATGTGCGACCGTCTTGAACTGGAAACAACGTTACAACATATGCTTGGGCATAGCCCGTGGACTTGCGTACTTACATGAAGAATTGCAGCCGGGTATGATTCACAGGTGAGAATGCTTAGACTCTAATCTGCAAACCATCAACGTTTTGATTCTGTTCTGTGTAGAACACATCTAAAGAAATGGGAAGGGCATGTGTTTTAACACCGAAAGCCAATGATTTACGACATCTAGTGCACCTTGTACTTGTGCATTACACCGTGAAGACATGCGAAGGCACAAATCATGGAGTTTTCTGTATGCTTGTGCTTCGTTTAGTGCTTATTTTGAGGTGTTTGATTTCTCCGCTTTAAACCCTAAACCCTGAACCTGTCTCTGAACTCTCAGAGACATAAAGCCGGAAAACATTCTTCTGGACAAGAATTACGACGCAAAGATTGCCGACTTTGGACTCGTCCGGCCCGCTAATGATTCAAATCACACTCTATTCACCATGAACATTGGAGGAACTAGGTACTTCTACAGGCCGAATTGGTTCATGTGTATCAAATGCACGACAGTTGCACTCAATTGGTCAGACTTGAATGTAGTATGCCCTTAGAGCAAGGCACTAACAATTTGGATTACTTTCCATGCAACTACAGGGGCTACTTTTCACCAGAGTATGCACTAGAAGGCGTCGTTTCCGAGAAACTGGATGTGTTTAGCTTTGGTGTTGTCTTGCTGGAAATCGTTGCTGGAAGACCGTGCATCGATCTGAAGATGCCACAGGAACAAAGTATCCTACGCTCCTGGGTGGGTGATTCTTAAATTTCACTGCATCATTATAGCACGAGCATTCCAAATCCAGCTCATAAAGCTTCAGGCTTTTAGGAGATACTCATCTGCCTCCTTTCTCTGCTACTCCTGCCAATTTCACTTATCAGAATACAGGCGCGATCTGATCACTGCTATATTCCTCTTCGGCCTCTCACACCCTCATGAAATGCGCAGGCTGCAACGTTGTACACGGAAGGCAAGGTTTTGAACCTGGTCGATAAAAGATTGGAGGGCGATTACGACGAAGAAGAAGTCCTGCTCGTGGTGGACATGGCTCTGTCTTGTCTGCAAACAGATCCCAAGAAACGCGCAACGATGTCTCAACTGGTGAACGTCCTCATGAAGAACTCAAATGCAAGTGTAGCTGCGGACATCGTCAACGAGCTAAAATCCCAGACACCATACGCGTCGAGCATACCAGAGGACGAACACTACGTGGACACCTATGCTGGTAGCCAAGGCGTTCAAGGAGAATCAGACGAACTTTCTTTCATGTCATCATTTGCCACCGATTCACAAGTCTCGGTTAGGGTGCCTCGATAGTGCGTACATGAGCACATGCCGTATCTCAAGTTCCTAGATTAGGTCGTCTGTACCCTATGTTCTCTTCCAGATATCTCAATTGACATTACCTTTGCGTGTGCCCTTGAGCCAAAGACGTAGGGAGACCAGTGTTTAACTTGAACAAGAATCTATTTACTTTATTCTCCGTCTACTTTCAAGCAACTGCATTCCGATCGTAAATTATACGAGGGTGACAAAATTTAATACTCTATGTAATTTCAAGCATCTGCATTACTTATTAGTTAAACTTGCTAGTTAGATTAGTTAGTTGCTAGCTAGCTACTACCTGTCAATATAGATTCTGGATTGAATACTGCCTCATTTAGAAACCAGAATGATGTATGAGAGAAAAAATATAAATGTGAAGTCATCATTGTAGTCATTCTTTCTAAACTCTGGATGGCAATAAAATATGTATTTAAACTCCAATATTACTATCTAACTATCTCGTGATATCGGTACTCAAAACTTGTCTACGCAGATTATTTGAATGAAAGCAGGAGCAATGTTACAGCATCACATTTTCACTAATTATACACAATAAAGTCTCTACAGATATACTTGATATTTTGACTCTATATTATTCTAGTGCGTCAAGCCGAGTATGTTGTCTGGATCTTCCGCTCGTTGACGATGTCCACTCACCTGCAGACAACTTCATGACCTTTACATCTCACGTTGTAAAATATCAAAACACTAATTTCTGTAAATACTTTATGTGCTGTTGTGACATGGCTAGTATGATAAGCAAAGATAACTCATGTCATCTTTGTAGAGGAAGGGTGTTGATGAACCATCCTTTGCTGCATTGCAGATCAGTTTTGCTTGCGTCATCATCCACAAAGCCAAATTTTACGCCGGTAAAATTAACAACTTTCGAATTGCCACAGAGTTTGGACAGAAGTATGCTATTAAAGCTCACACTGAACTTCGATAAAGAACAATCGAGTGACCTATTCAGAGCCACTTTGCAGATTCTGAGGTGACTTCACGATGGAGTTCACACAAGTAGCAATGAGTTCTGTCGCTTAAAGACGAGGCTTTAAGTGTAAAAATTTATGATTTCACAGGGCTGGACACTGCATCAATGAAAATACTGTAACTCTTTGATAGAGAAGTGGACATTATCTATAACCATGATTGACTGCCAGATTATGACTTGGAGGTCGAATATTAAAAAAAGTGTATACCTCGGTACGTACGTACGGTTGGTGGACAGTCTCATGATCGTCTTCACATCACACACCCGAGAAAGTTTGTAGCAAATTGGATACATGTGAACTTTAAGGGTATTAAACAATAAAAATATTGTGATGATTGTATGAGAGGAGGTGACTAGTGTCAATCGAGGCAGGCTGCATTTATTAAAGAGCGAGTGCAGAGGAAAGAAAAAGGAACTGCAGTAAAAGAAAAGCAGAAAACAGGATATAGGTTATGAAGAAGCTGAAGATTCTGAACGTTATAACAACAACTACGATGTGGAGTATGGACGACACAAGATCACTAGAAGAACTAAGATAAAAAAACCTAAGAAGATCAAAGTTTGTTCTTTTTGTTTTAACATAATGATGATTTAATAGATGAACTTCGTACAAATTTTGGATTGTATACGTTTTTTTTTCTTGTATTTTATAAAAAAATTCTTGTCATTTCAAATATTGCACTGGACGAGCCAAAAAAAATTTCATATTGTATGAACAAAAATCAACGGGTTAAAAATTGCCAAACAACAACTCTATAATCGAGAGGATGTTTCAAAAGTCATTGTAAAAACCTGTGCGTAGCACTAGCGCAAACATTGAATATATTTAAATCGTGAACTTCTTTTGAAAATCTAAACACCAAAATTTTAATTTGCTAATGATATTTTATTTTCTTGCAATTGAAAATAGGTACACAAATTTATCTTTGATCTAATTTTTTGTTATATGTTTCTATGCAATTGGAGCTTCAGTTGATCATATTTAATAATTGATATGCTTATGATTGATAACATTAGACTATAAATAAATGACTTTTTTATGACACAAAACTATTGAAGATAGTAAAAAACCAAAACATCTAAAAATTTAAATGACATAGTGAAAAAAGATAGTTAATCCAAAGAAGCTTATATTCTGAAGTTTAGACTCATATACATTCTCCATAAAAAGCTGAAGTACTTTTTGTAAATAATGTCTATGATCATATAAAGTTTTGCTATATATCAAAATATCATTATATATTTTGGAATATAGAAAAATTTAGATATGTACCAAAAAAAATTATTGTTCAATGCCATGAATGGAGCAGATGCATTAGTAAAATCAAAATACATCATTAGATACTCAAAACGATCATAAATAGAACAAAAAACGATTTTGTGAAAATATTCATCTGTCATCCATCCAATTGCATAAACTACTCTATTTCTTGAAGTGAGAATAAAAAATCATCTAAACGAGGAAATGAATTAATTTTTTTTACTCTTTGTTAATTCAATTGATGATAATCAATGCTTAACCTTATGCATTTATCTTTTTTCTTCACAAATAGCACTTAAATTCCGCAACATAAAACACTTAGTTGAATAAGACCTTATCTCGATACTTTCTTCACATGAGTTTTGCATTTTTTTAATTTGTTTGAAGCAATCTGATTTGAAGTTTTGCAATCTAGCATGCTTTCAAGTATTATCCTAATCTTATGATTTACACGTGGTTGTATTATTGCATGTAAATAATCTTGAAGAACATCTTTATACCCTTAAAATTTATAGTTAAAGAAATCAAAAAATAAAAGTTTCTCTTTAGATCCAATCATATTTCTTATAGATTTCAAAAAACATACATCATATGTGGAATTGATGCTTTATTCATCACAAAAGTAAAGTAAAATTCTATTAGGATATCTTAATTTATGTGCATGCATCATTCAACCACTACGGAATATCAGTTTTTTTTAGACCACTTATGATTTGTATTGTTTCATCTATCACAATGGTATGATGACATCATATTGAATTGAAATAATTATATTTTTTATCTCCTTCATATGTCTATGTATAGATTATTCTACAATATTTCATAATCTATTTATGATTATAGTTTGCCCGTTTGGCAATATATTCAGGTTCTTCATCAACATCAATCATAATCCTTTTAAAACAATTTGTGACAAAACTTTTTTGTTCCTTGAGTATCAATGAAAACTTTCACCTTGTATCCTTGCATCAGGACATCAATGACTGTGAGGTGGCTATTTTTTAGATAGGAAATAAAGTAGTATTTTTTAAGTTTTTTTCATAAAGATAGTTTTGATCTGATATATTAAATACCTCATAACTTTCTCAATTCGTAATTAATTGACTTAAAGAGAAATTCTATAGATAAATCTTGGCATGCTTGTTCTAAGGAGCCCAAAAACTTTTGAAACAGTTGAGAATTCATTGAGTTATGAGTATCGGAAATAGCTGGTACGAATAGGCAAAAGTTCTTTGGCTCAAAGAAATTCGGCTCAAATAACTTCGGCTCAAAGAACTTCGGACGAAGAGAATTCAGACTTCGGACTTGGAGAGATCTGAGAGGGTATGATTCCTGGGCATCATCAAGGATCAAGTTACCCCCAGCGAGAGTGAAGAGACAGGTTTATGGGTGAGGCTATTTTTGGGTGAGATTGAGTGGTACTATTTTTAGATGTGATAAGATGGGTTTTCAGTGTTTTATTCTTGGAAATACTCTTTGACGCTTGGAGAGGGGCCAGGGGTGCTTTGGCCTTGGCTTTTTGGGGGGTGCTTGGGACAGTTTGCGTGCTATATAGTTCAGTGTTTGTGAGTTCAGAGGGGGGGGGGGGGTGGCATCAGGAGATTACAAGTTTAGAGCCGAGACGTAGTGTGCGTTTTCTTTTCCTCATGGCTGATGAGACGCAAGATAGTGGTACTTTCCTTGTGTGATGCATGTAGATTTCTGTAATAACCCACCAAAGGCTAAAACTGCAGTATAGCAGCAAAAAGGTCAAACCCACAGGGACAGAGGCAACACGCAGAGTACAAAGTGTCACGTTTAACAGACTATTGAAGAGTTTGAATTCTCAGGCGACTATCACTCCCAGAATACTGCAAGTACTCAACTTGGAGGTCACTCGGAGGACGCACAGTGCAGAGTAGTTCACTCAACACACAACTGAATCTATAGAAACACAACTCAGAGGTCGGTTAGGACCTCCACTTAAGATTTTAGGGGGAAAGTTTCTCACGAGTACATTAAGAGGCTCTGCAGGTAGTGACTCCCAACTCGATTTCTACAACCCTTCCACTAGTTTCTGCTAACGCGGGTTGGACTTCCTACTTCGGATGCGGTATCTTCGTCAAACCGAAGTCACTCACACGCGGTGGACAACACACTCAACTCACAAAACGCGCAGAGAATACAGGTCCGAACTGAGAAACTCAACTGAGAAAAGATCTAGTGGCACACCATAACAATCTATTGACGAGTTTGAATTCTCATGCACTAGTCATTCCCAGAAATACTAAAGAGGTTTGCCCCTAGGGCGCCTTCTGCAGCGTAACCTGAATTACAACCAAGGCTTACTCGAAGTAACAAAACTTCACTTTGGCATTCAGGGAAAATATCCCGAAGGAGTACAAACAGGAACAATCACTCGAAGGTGTAGGGACGAACTGTTCAAGTATCTAACCAGTTACTAGCTCTAAGCATTAAGCAATCACCCGCAGGTGTAGATCCAAACTGCTCAAGTATCTAACCAGTACACTGGCTCTGAACATTTTGTAGCTGAAGGCCTTCAGCTTCGTCAAGCTGTAGCTCCTCTTGCGCGGTGACAGAACTAAGGACACAAACACGCAGAGAAAATGAGTTCCTAATCTGCACTTCCGAAACTGGAAGAATCCCAAGGCAGGACGCCTTGAACTACTTTATACCTTCTAAGTCCTAACTAACACTCTTCATCTGCACTACACTACACTACGCTACGCTACAGCACACTGCAGCTCATCTACTTTGACTTCTGCGCGACGGACTGCCGCGCACTAACTCCCTACCCGACAAGTCTTCCGCTCGACTGCGCAATCCCAGCTGCCGCAACACCGCAATCACCTCCGCCTTGAGGTTTGCCATGGCGTCCCGCGACCTTGACAGAAACGAATCTAGCTTCTTCGCCACTCGCCGCCGGCTCCGACTGTCACCCGACATCAAACAACATCAAACCCGCCGCACGAAGCTCTAACCCGCGCAATGTGAGTTTCTCCTGCGCAGCCACTTACCAGAGGATGTAACCTTTGAGAAAGTGGTTCACTCGCTTCACCAACTCTTCCTTCGTGCGATCTGCCTCCCGCCGGCGATCGTCTTCAACTACCACCAACTGCAACTCTGCCTCCGCACGCTGTGCTCTCAATTCGCCGCACTCCAATTGCAGTTTGCGGATTAAGT